AGAGCTGCTCGGCGAGCTGGAAGACCCTGCGCCCCAGCTCCCGGGCCCCCGCCCCCTCGCTGTCTCCGCCTCCTTCGCGCACACACACCCCGGGCCGCTAGAGCCCCGGGCCTTCCCGGCGCTCCTCCTCCTCTTTACTCTCGCCCGAGACCCGGGTCCTCCAGCCGCCTGCTGGCCTTGCTCCCTCCGGCGCTAGTCGCGGTTCTCAAGCTCTCCTTTCATACACGCGCTTGCTGGGCCGGTCCCTCTTCTCGGCCCTTCTCCTTTCCCTTGTCCTAGCTAACGCCGCAGTCGGGGGAGGATTGATGTCCCTTCAGCATCATGCAGCCGCCGCCGAGGAAGGTGAGGGTGCAGAAGGGAGGCTTTGGGGCTTTGGGGGGGATGCGTCCAAGGAACGTGGCTGGGGCGACCGCTGCGACCCCTCCCCCTTTCCGCAACGGGCCGTGACCGCTGTAGCCTCTGGCGTGTCACCGAGTTGCTGCCGGTTCCGGACCGGTGAGGTGCCTTTCTGACCAAAGGGCGGCCGGGGTTCGTCCCCTCCACCGCGCGGTAGACCCCCAGACATCTCACAAGAGTTTCGGGTGCACATTTGTATGTGTGCGCGCGCATGGCAGTGCTGCTAGCTGCAAAGTGCATTCTCGGGGCTGCACCGAGGGGAGGCGAGGGAGCCCCTGCAGCTTTGCAGAGCCTTGTGCTGCTTGTGTGATTGTTTAGTCTGCACCAGGTTTGAGCCCTCGAGCCGCTTGTCGCCACCCTCGTCCATTTGCAAATTTGCGGGGAATTGGTTTCCATTCTAGCCTTAAGGTTTGGCCTGCTTTTCCCACGGGGCGGGAGGAAAAGAAGTTGGAATAGTCATCGACCCCATCCTAGAGGAAAACAAGAAATTAAGCATTGACCAGTCTTGCCTTTCTCACCCCTACCCTCCCTTCCTGTCCCGTAGTGCACGAGAAGGCGGTGGTCGTGCCCCCAGGAGAGTGAGAACCCGGCAGTGCGTGGCGTGTATCGGGATCTGGGCTTGGGGTGGGAGTGACGGGTGCCCGGGCTTGTCCGCAGCTTCCCCGCTGCGCCCCTTGGAGAACTGTTTCACTGCCCCCTTCAGCTTTCCCAGAGGCTGAGGCTGTGTTCTTGTCTTTTTAATCTTGAGCGCTGGGTGGAGGAGGCTGTTCTGTCCTCTCCTCGTGGGCAAACATTTGCCGAATGCCTCGCTCGTCTGCTTCGTGTTCATTCTTTCTTTCTTAATCTGGGTTTCTCCAGTTTTGAGGCTTTTTCCCCTTCATACGTGTATCCCCGCTCCGGTTAGCCCAGCTGCGGCGGTGGGGATTCCAGGCCCACTGGACCTGGAGCCCTGGGGTGCCGGCCTGGCGGGCGAGGCACTGGCCAGCTTGCATTTGCTGTTCTAGCTGTTTGAAGTGGAGCCGCCACAGGAACCGCCTTGCTGGGGTGTCTTAAAAGCGCTGCATATACTAGAAGGTCACTTTTGCTTTCTCCTTTGTGAGGAAGAGATTGTGATTTGATGTGCTGTCAGCGAGTGGAGGGCATCATCCTGAGACAGTGTGTCTTCTCGCAGCCATTTGGAATAATTTATGTAGTCGATTCAAGCATATAATTTCATTATTGTGTACATTTCGGTCATTAGATACTAGGCATTCTGATGCTCCCTTCTTCCCGCTCCACTCTGCTCACCTCTCCTGGTGGTTAATGTCTTCGAATCCTTTTTGGAAGAAATAGAAGAAAGACTCTTTTCAAACTTTAAGAAGACCTAGATATGTACTTGAGCTTGTGTGTGAAGTAGGATGATTGGCAGTTTATTTTGCACCTCTTTAATCTGTAATTTTTATATTTGCGTACTTATATTTAGCCTCTGTTTCAGGTGATTTGACTAGTTTTTTCATTAAATGTCTTCAGTAAATAAAATTAGGTGGCTAATAATGGATTTCTGGTCTTTAGGGGAGAGGTGAGCAAGAGTTACATATTCTGACAAGTATTTAGTATTTTAAGTAGTTTTGTTGTTGTTGGTAAAGTTACAGTAAGGCCTTCATAAATATATGATATATTTTAGGTGAAAGTTACACAAGAACTGAAAAACATTCAAGTTGAGCAGATGACAAAACTTCAAGCCAAACATCAAGCAGAATGTGATTTGCTTGAAGATATGAGGTAAGGTTATAGTAAATAGTTTGAGAACTTCTATATCTCTGTTTCAAAGAACCTTTTAGTTACCAAGCCTGAGGAACTGATGATGGAATTTCCTTTTGGATTTCCTGCTTTAAGGCTGTTAGAGCTTTGACTCAGCTAGAAATTATAACTGGAACTAACACAATACAAACATTTTTTCTTTTAGTGGGGGAACCTATAACGTACACATACTCTTATGAAAAAGTTTATCTGTCAAAATATAATCATTGAAGTAGAAATACTTATTTAAATAATGTTTCTACTGAATTGTAACATTTATTGACCTTAACAGTTTCACACAGATTTTTAGACTAACGCCTCTGGTTAATGGTTAATATCTGGCGGTGAGCCAGTCAACCTCAGATGATTATATCCTAGCATTATCTGTTAGAACATGACAAATACCACTTTGCCTTTGAACATTAAATTTAGTGGGAAATGTGTTTATCATATTTTATCACTAAAGTTCCCTGTATTCATAATCAAGGTAACTTTGAATTTAATAGATAAAACATTGTGGCAGCATTGTGGAAATGAGTATCTTTCTTTGTAGAGGAAAGCGTAACTCATTTTATTGAAAGAAACACCACAATCCTATAATACAAACCTACAGTTTAACCAACATACCTTGGTAAAGGATGGAAGATGATTTGCATGTTGAAACAAGAGGCTGCAATTCTTATTCCCCTTCAGTAATACGTTTATCAAAATGGAATTGGCTCTGTAAGCCTCATCAGTTGCCAATTTTTCCTATGGTGTACAACTTCATATTGGTTTCCTGAAAAATATTAACTATATGCTGTAATAATAAAATTGTATGTGTTTGGATAGCTGAATTGTTTATAGCTCAAAGATTTTAATTTAAAGAGTTCCTTTTTCCTCTGCCATATTTAATCTATTAGGTGCTATTTATGAGTGTTTCTACTATATGCCTGTATTTTCGGGGTTTCTAACTAAGCCATATAAATTTAGTCTCTTCCAGTCTTGGATGTACCAAGATCATTGTTTTTTTAATTCTGTATTTGTCTCCTTTACTTTTCTTGTGACCACAGGGATCTTTTTAGACTTAAATAATTCCTGTACAAGATACCTGAAACTCTTTATATGGTTAAAAATTTAAAGTATTTAATATCTATTAAATGAACTAAGGTATTTTAGTAGAAATCTCTAGATGAAGAAAGTAAAAAATTTTCAGAAGCAGTTTAGGAAGGCAAAATTAGCGTGTAAGTTAAGATACTCTTTGGGTTTTGGAAGGTCAGTGGTCATTAAGTCCTGTTGATTATATCTTATAAAGACTTCTTGCTTGCATTCTTTTATTTTTTTCCTTCATTGTGTATACCGTGGTACGGATACACAATCACTGTTAAATTGATGTAGGTTGTTGCTCATGGCTGCTGTTCACATTTTACTTGCATTATTGCAATAATATCCTAATTATTGCAATAGTGTTCTCATATCTTCCAGCACCCCCATCCCTCCTTTTAAGTCCGTCTTCCACATTGTCACCAGTTAGCTTTTGAAAAACATGTTTATTATATATCAGGTTCTCCGTGGTTGTCTGGATAAAGACCAAACACCTTGTCATAGCATATATGGCTTTCTGCAACCCAGCTGCAAGCTTCCTTTCCTGACTTAATTACTACCATTTCATGCCCATGTATCCTTCCTCCTTAATCCCCCTGCCCTGGCCACTCAGGACTTCTGGTTATCTAATTGTGTTCTCTACATTCATGCCCTCATTGTGGTGTTCTCTGCCTGTCAATACCCTTCCTCCCACTTTTTTACCTGGCAAGTTCTGGTTACCATTAAGTTTGTAAGTTTGTTGTTCTCCGTGATCTCAAAAGAATTTTGATTTTGTACATGCTTTTGGCTTTCCCCCTCATATGAATTCCTTAAAGGCAGGGTATAACTTACTCATTTTGTATCTTTGTACTCTTTATTTAGGCTGGCAGAATTGTTAAATGTAACTGCACCACTATTTTTTTTTTTTAGAGAGAGGAAGGGAGAGAGAGAGTGAGAGAAAGAGAGAAAGAGAAACATAGATGTGAGAGAGAAACATTGATCAGTGCCTCCCATACCCGCCCAGACCAGGAATCAAACCTGCAACCTGGATATGTGCCCTGACTGGGAACTGAACCCACCACCTTTTGGTGTATGGGACAGTGCTCCATTAACTGAGCCACACTGGCCAGGCCTGCACCTTATTTGTTTTTAGGTGAGATATTTTATAAGCTCCATTCATAGGGGCTATAGTTGTATTTGTTGAGCTTGTGTTATACTTTGATTCACGTGAGCACTTTAAAATGTACTGTGCTATTTGATGTAGAGTATGTCTGCATTTGTATATAATGTATAAACACAGAGATTGTTGGTGCTCCAAGGATTAATGTATTCTACATTATTTTGAAGGAGTCAGTGTGTGCTTTTGTATTAATAGGATGAATTCCTTCACTCCTATGTAGTTGTGAGCAGAACACTGTATTACTTCCTAAAATACAAGTTTAGGTTTCTGTTTGCCTTTTTTTTCAATGATAATACTGAATTGGAAGGTGAAAATTGCCTACTCTTGGTATTCATGATAACTTTAGTTACTTGAGGAGGGAGTTGGTCTGGCTTTTCTGATCTGTTGTAGCAGGTGGAATGACACTTTAAAAATTCATTAGAAATCTCTGAACTGGGCTTTTCATATGTATTATGCTGTAAAGGATCTTGCTTGCTTTTCCTTTTTTGAGGCCCCCACCTCTCTCCACCCCCAAACCTCATAGACAGCACTCATTCTAACCCATGGCCCCCCAAATAGTGTTATACTCAATTTAAGTTAGTATGAATTCACTCAAAAAGGTGCAAATAACTTTTTATTCTTAATGTAAAGAAATTAGTAGTAGAAAAGTTTTTATGACTTTAAAAAAAAGTTTTAAAAAAAGACAAAAAAAGACCACAATACATTAAACTGTAAATAGGAGAATTTTATGCTTGGTTATTGCTAGTTCCCACCCCTCTCCCCTCTACACATCTTCTGGAATTTTGAAGGGAGGAAACCAATTATGATCATTTTTTCCTTTGCTCTCTTCCCCTTCTTCAGTTCGTTTGTTTCAGGGACGCATTTGGAAGCTAGTGTGTTGGGAGTAAAGTATTAGAAGGAGAGATAACTCATTTGTTGTTAATCAGGAACATTCCATGGTTTGGCGAGATTTTTTTTTTGAAGTGTTTCCTGTTGACTTTTGCTGTCAGCAGTAGACAAGTACACTTCACTCTTTTTAATTTATTAATTTTCCCTCTCTTTGCTTTCTAAGGCCACTTAGAAGTAAGTTTCTAAATACTGTAGCCTATGTGTTGTTAGTATTATGTTTTCCGTGTTGTTTATTCCTATGATGTGCTAAGTAGTCAGTAAAGAAAGTTCTTTGCAACCACCCACAGTGTGAAGAACTACCTTTGTAGCAGACATTTTAAGGCATCAGTATATAATATGGAAAAATCATGGCATTTTAGAGTCAGGTGGATACTATCACACTTGTTGATTTTTGTAGATGAAAATGGAAACTGAGGCACAGTGAAATGAAGTGAATCATGTTAAGGAGACCCTAAGATGTTTCTCCTAATTTCTAGACTAGTGCACTTATCTGTATTTCCCCAAGCTTTTAACCAAGGAACTCATCATGGGTTTCATTTTTTGGAACATTTTGCCTATCAAGTACATTTTAACTAATAGTTTGTTTTCCTGTTCTTTTACTTTTCATACATTAAGTTGTTAGTCAGCTTTGCATCAGTATTTTAAAACTACTAACATGAAACCAGTCAAAGGCAAAGATACCTAAAACTTTACCTCAGAGAAGGCTGAGTGTATGGTTTCTCTCAGATGTTCTGAAAAAATGAAACTGGCTCAAGAAGCACCTGTTCTTCCTTTGATGACACCTGGAGGTCTAGTGACCTCAAGTAAGGAATTACTATACTATCTGATACTTTCTCTAAACTGTAGTTTCATGGGAGTCACTGGGGATTGGATTCTGAAGTCTGTTTATGGATGCTCTGAGACTTTTATGTCTAGAAAGGAACCTTAAAGGTAATCTGATCCAGAGGAATTTTTAAAAACAGGTTTACCAAAGAACTTATATGCATATATGCATTACCCATGGACACAGACAATAGGGAGGTAAAGGCCTGGGATGGGGTGGGAGCCAGATGG